GTTTGAATTTAAGGTTAGAATGCGACATTACTTAATTTTATTAGATTACTTAATTAATTTATTAGAAATGTATTCGTTTGAATTTAAGGTTAGAAAACGACATTACTTTCTGATCCACCTAATAATATTATTTTTTAATTCGAATATATGTTAATTTGAAACAAAATGGTTTTTTTATAGAACCACGTGCATCTCTTCCACCTCTTCTTTTAAAATTGTCTGAAAGAAGACCAGAAAAATTAGATTACATTGGCGTATCTTATGGTATCACTGAACAACTTTTAAGATTTTGGAAAAGATCTTCATTCGTTCCTGTTTATATAAGGTTAGATTTGAAAGATATCTAAAATATTATTCTATATTTATAATTAATATAATTTTATAATGTTATTTTTTAATATAACACATATTAATCATGGTTTTGTTTTTAGACAAACTGCTAACGATATAACTGGAGAAAATTCTTGTATAATGTTATATAAAATCAAATCAAATGAAGAAGAAGGGACTAATAACAATTGGTTGAACGCATATTGGAAAGATTTTCGTCGTCGATTTATATCACTACTTTCTTTTCCATTTAACACTTATCCAGCATGTTTATCTTTGAGTATTTTAAATAACAAATCTGTTCCTGTTGAATTTAATTGTACGTATAATATAATTTGTATTATATTATTTAACGCTAGATATACCACCATTTTTAGTATACCTTATTATTTCTAACCACACTAGTCAAAATAACTGGTCTGATATATCTAATGTTAATATTTATCTTTTAATGTTACATGTATAAATTATTTGTTTATTAATTATTTATTTATTTATTTATTTGTAGCTTTATCGAAAGAAATGTTAGACGCATATTTCACATCTTACGATTTAAAACGATTAGACATGTATAGCAACAATATGGCGGACTATCATTTAATAATGGATTTATTACCATCTTTGGCACGTTTATATTTCTTAAATATGATGACAGATTTAAATTTTTCTCCAGTACAATTGGTAAATATATATTTCATTTATATATTACATTTGTTATTTTTTTTTTTCTAATTATTTTCAACTTTATACAAATATATTTATTGTTTGTATTGTCCGTTAGGTAATTTTATTAGGATTAGGATTGCAACATAAAACAGTTGACAAATTAGCCGAAGAATTAAAGTTACAATCGTCACAATTACTCGGTTTATTTAATCGTATTATTAGAAAATCTATACAATATTTAAATTCGATTGCTGAACAATATATTGAAACTGTGATAATGGATAAAAATATGACAAGTGATAATGTACAATTGAATCCATTAAGGGGACAAAGTTTACACGATGAATTAGAAACTGCAGCTAAGGTTTGGAATGCTATTATTAATTTTTTAATAAATAAAATATATATATTCTCTCTCTCTCTCTTTCTCTCAATATTATAACATATTGATTATTATTTTGTTTTCTTTTTTGTATAATAGGAATTAAGAAGAAAACAGGAAGCTGAGTTTGAGAAATTAAGATTAGAAAATTTAGATCCATACATAATAAAAGGAAGTGAAGCTGATTGGAATAATGCACTTTCCGGAAAGAAAAGTAAAAATTTGATTTCTGTTAAAACTGGGGAAAAAAGGCCGGTAGATGGTGATGATGATGCTGAATTAAAAGAACCACAGAAAAAACAGAAGAAACAAAAAAAACATAAAAAGTTTAACAATTAATAAGAAATTAATTAATTATTAAACACTCCTTTTTTTCAATTATAAAATTGATCAAAAATTTCACTGATAAATATTATCATTATAAATTTATATACATCATCTTGTGTATATATATATATATATATATATTTGATTAAAAACAATTTGTAAAAAAAACTATGCAATACCTATCTTAATCCATAAACAAACAAAAAAAAACAAAAACAAAAAAGAAGGAAGTATTAAATACATTTTTATACATGAATTAACTATTATACTATTATTTTTTAAACATTCAAAAAATTATTGCTCTCAATATACTTTATACATTGGTAAATCAAATTTCGTTCGTTTTTGATAGGCTTAGCGAGCAACTTTCGTAATAAATTTATACTACTACTGTTTTTATACTTCTTTTGCTTATCGATTACTTTGTTTTGTATACTCAACGGTTTATTTTCTTTTTCTTTTTCTTTTTCTATTTCCTTTTCCTTTTTCTTCTTCTTTTTATCAGATTTATTTGAAGTATCATTAGATTTGGTATTATTTGATGATACTGTTGTTTCCATGATATTTGTTTCATTTGAATGATTTGCAAATTTTTTTATTGGCACTTCCTCTGGACATTCATCATTTTCTTTTCCTTCTTCTTCTTCTTCTTCTATAAAATTAGAAATAATTAAGATAAATAAATCTGTTTTTATTTTTCATTGATATCAATATAGTTCTGTAATTGATAGAATGTACAAACAAGCAGAGGATGATTCATATACATGAAAAATTAAATTGAAAAATTAATTATTTTCATATAAAATTTTGTTTTGATCAAAAACAAAAAATTTGAAGATTTATCAAATATATGTATGATGCATTTTTTCTTTTTTTTTTTTCATGAAAAATCATCTTCTGTTTGATGGTTGTACCACGAATTACAAAATACCACCTTCGCTTCCATAATCCGCTACTAAACTGTTCATAAAAATATTTTTCATTGGATTAGTCAAATTAGCGATTGAATTATTTTCCATCGTTGTATCTTCTTCGTCCGAAATATTAAATGTATTTTCTAATTGTTCACTTTCATTAATACATTTTGTTGTTTTCAATTGTTCGTCATTAGTGTTTTCACTTTCGTTACATTTAATATCTTTTAAGCAAGCTATAAAAACAATTTAACATATATTTATTTATGTTATATGAAAATTCCCTCTCTCTCTCTGTATTCGCATAATTAATAATGATAATTAAACATACCCGTTCCAGGAAATTGAATAAGACCTCTGTACGTTTCTACATCTGTTGTTGTAGTATTTTGTTTTTTTTGTATCCGAAATGTTCGTTTTGGTTTTTTTACAACATTATTAGTATTTGTTTGTTGTTGTTGTTGTTGTTTATTTTTTCTCGAATGAATAATAGGTTTATTCACTCGATTGCTCGTTTCACCATGTTCGATATTTTTCATATCATCAGCTTTTTGTTTTTTCTCAGCTTTTGCTTTTGTAGGATATTTCCTATAATTTAATATAAATTTTATAGCAATGCTTTCTTTTTATTTTTTATTTTTTTTTTATTTTGAAAATATACTTTGAAAGTATACTTTCGTTTTCTTTTCAAACTTGACCATAATAATAAAGATTAAAAAAAATATATATATATTTTTAATTATTAACACGTTCACGTTGGCGCGTACCACCGGTGGCCCGCGCTAGACTGTCCCATCGGGCGGCGTGTACCACCGGTGGCCCGCGATAGACTGTCCCATCGGGCGGCGCGTACCACCGGTGGCTCACGCTTGACTGTGCCATCGGGCGGCGTGTACCACCGGTGGTCCACTTTGGTCCAGGTTTGAACAAGCAAAAATCACGCGCCGCCAGATGAAGCGCATTCTAGATTCGAGTTCTAAGTTCTAATCGTAAGATTGTAAAACTATTATTGTACTTTTTCTAATACCTATTTTAAATAAATCTTATTAGTAGGATTAAACTGGGTATATGTTCACCTCACACCACTCACCCTAAATAAAATTTCCTACATATATATATATAATATTAAGATGTAATATATACAATGTTAATATGCATATAATAATATATATTATATATAAAAATAAATAATAATAGATATTAATATATTACATATTATAATATTAAATATTATTATATATATTAAATTAATAATATTAAATACTAATATTATATATTATATAATTATGACTCTTTGTTAATAAACAAATAATTCGCAATAAAATAATATTGCGATTATAAATTAAGATATTAACTATCCTATCTTTCAAGTTGGATGAAACTGCACACAGTATACAAAATTTGATTAAAATCGGTTCAGTAGTTTAGGAGTCCATTGCGGACAAACAACGTGCCACGTAATTTATGTATATATTAAGAAGAATGAAGATAAGATAAGATATAAAAATAAATAATATTAAATATATATATTAAGCCTTTGAGTGTTATGGACGCATATATGTGTTTGATAATATTAATATAAAATAATATAATGTTTAATTTTAATGAATTAAATTATATTCATAAACAATAACATTAATTATTAAATATAATTTATTTATTAGAATCTGATTAATAATAAATTATTCCTGTTTTCTGTAAAACATTTTAAGTATAAGTATTATTCACCACTCAAAAGGATTAACATAAAATATTAAATAATAATAATAATAATTAATAAAACAATATTACCTTTTTCTGTCTTCGATCCATTTTGTAATATCTTCAGGAGTCGAGACATTTTTCATTCTTTCATATAATCCAGTACGATGTTGCATTTTGATATGTTTATCAACGAGTAAAACATTAGCAGAAAATGTACAACCATCTATACCACATATTTTATGCATAGACACATGTTCTGTTAATTTATCTTCCGTTTTAAATTCTCTATCGCATACTTCGCAATAGTATACTTTATCTACTTTATTTACTTCATTATTTTCATCTATTTTGTCACACGATGATTCTTTGTTTGATTCCTTGGTTTCCATGTTTCTTTCAATGTGAGCCTAAAAATTTGGATCTTTGGTGGTATTCGATAACAATGATGTATGTGTTTAAAATATATATATATATTGTATTTACCTTTATTATTGATACATTGAAAGTTGGATATTGATCTAAATCTATTTATTATTATTATTATTATTTATGTTTATTAATTTTATTCGATATTTATATTTAATTTTTGTAATATCAAATATATATGATTTAGACCATCCTGTAAACTTTCAAAGTTTCAATTACTATCTTATCGTTTGAACATTGTTTGATTTGATAAAAATGTCATTTTGTTCATTCAAAAATTCGAATATTTAAATATTAATATTGTTTATACATGAAAATTATTGTTTTAAACAATTTTTATAGCAAGTTATGTACATTGTATAAAATTTTCAGATTATTCAAAAATTCTAATGTATTTTTTTTTTTTTTAACAGGAAGAATTTAAAAATTAAAAATATAAAGCTATAGTTAATTTCTAGTAACATTTAAAGTATTAATATATTTTATACATAAAAATTATTGTTTTAAACAATTTTTATAGCTAATTGCACGTCGTAGAAAATTTTCAGAATATTCAAAAATTCCAATGTATTTTTTTTTTTTTAACAAGAAGAATTTAAAA